CGAAAGGAAAGTGATGTGGTCTGTGATTTTGCATACGGCTGCTGAGAGATCAAACACTTTAATCGCATTAATTTTGACTCGTACGGATGTCGGGTCTCATCTCGCTAATCGAGTTTCGTCCGAATTTTGAATCTCTGGGGAAGGGAGCGCAATATTTTAATCAAATAGCATCGTAGGTGCTCTGCGGATTCTGCCGGTTCACCTAGTCTTACCCTCCCCATCGCTTCCTGAAACCGCAGATCGATTGGAGACGCGTGACGTCACGGGCCCTGGAATGCCAAAAACACTCTGCGTTCAGTCCAAATCTGATTCGGTCGAGAGGAGGATCGTTTCACGGGTCTAGTTGAGAGGCTGTGTTCTTCGGACATTGGAAATGAGGCACGGACACGAGGCATTTCAAATGTCCGAAGAACAGTTCATTCACTCGCCCAGATGTGGCGAGTGGAAGAAACGATGACCGCAATGCAAGCAATTGTCAACATTTGATTCAAATCAGCGATTTAAAGGTGATATGATCTCGATCGTGTCGATCAGTCGTAATCGAATGGAGAGCAGCAAAAAACATTCCACGAGAAAACTATGATTTCGGAGAACGTGATTTGATTTGCGATTCGCCCATCACTGTTAGGTCATTGATCTCCATCGGTTAATCTCAGGCCAGAATCCACCCGAAAGCCGACACGGGGGCTCACCCGAAGGTGGACGGTGACGCTGAAGGATTCCCCGACGAGGATGCGATCCAGCTCCACGAGGTCGAAGTGGACGTCCTCCGCCGACGCTGCCGGCTTGCGGTCCTCGTGAGGGAAGGATGGCTTCAGGATCCTCACGGCGTTCATCATGGCCAGCCGCTCCGACGTCGTGCCTGGGGGGCGGGGCGGACGGATTGGGTGAGGTGGGCAGTTCGATACGCAGGGGGGGGGGGGGGCTGTTTTTTGTTTACCTTCCGTGTTCTTGTATTGGTCGATGATGTCTTCTGCGTCTCCGTCTCCTTGGTCGTCGTCCCGTCCGGGGCGTTTCGTGATGATCGCCCGACCGACGCTGCGACGGGAAAGGCAAAATCCCACGTATGATGGGGCATTGTGTGAATGTATTCCAGGGGAAAATTCAGATAAACGCTGATGTGAGCACATAAACTTGCGGAAATGTCGATTTAAAATTTAAGTAGCGAAAAATAAAATAATAAAGAAAAGGTAAGATACTTGAAAGCTGGGACTCACTGATAGTCAACAGTCTGTCGCAATGAGAAACCCCATTGAGACTCGGGATCTTCTTGCCAGTGCTTGAGATCCGCATTGACTTCCGTGAAGACGAATGGTGTGTCGTAAGCGAAGCCGACCTCCCCGTTCCGGATCGCCGCCAAGGACGCCGGTCCGCACTGATTTCTCCCTGTGGAGAAGAAAAAAATTTACCTTCAACCGAGTAATTTCTTAATATCACCGAATGCATGAATTTAGATACCTCCCTGATTAGCATAAAAAACTCATTAATTTTGTTCGGGAAATGACTGGGGACCTCACCCTCGCTGGTCTCCTGTGGCGTGGCATCGATGGCCTGCCACCCGCCGTAGCCCGGCGGGAGGTCCGGCCGCGCCATCCAGGCGTCGTTCCACACGTGGAAGTTCCAGACGGTGTCGAGGCACTCGCCGCCGGGCCCGCCTTCGATCACGTCGCCGAACACGTCGAAGTACTTGTCGATGCTCAGCGTGGCGTCGGTGTCGTGGGCCGAGACGAAGTTGCTCACGCATCGGCACGGGATCCCCAGGGCCCTGCACACTTCGCACGTCCCACTTCGTTAATCAGCGGGGACCGTTTCGACGACGAGCTATCGGTCTCTTTTAAATCGTAATAG